CAACCTCCAAATATTAAGCAAAATATATCAATAACTATAATATTTTGAATAATTATAGCGTTTAAAAAATACTTCAATAGTTTAAATTTCAATTTTAAAACCAATAACAAAATACAACTAAAACAAATACAATCTTCACTGTCTTTCTAGAAATCTAAATGTTATTAGTGTTGCAAATCCTATACTTTATTCTAATTTCATTTAAAAACAATGTTAATAAAAATAAAATAAAAAGATAATGTTTTAACAAATAAACCCTATTCGATCCGGTTTTTTGACTGGTCTAACTACTTTTCTTTGGTTTTATATCAATTCAACCCGGTCGTGTCTCTAGTTTATGGTTGAACCTCGTCCGACCGCTGGTTCCGTCCAATTTTAAAAATATTATTCTAAAATTAAGTGTCATCGCAAAGTGTGATTTAAAATGTTGCTATGCATTCTCAATGTGAATTTTTAACCTAGATTTCTAATTTACTCAACATTTTTTGTTTTTGAAATGTGTCAAAACGATATTTTTCGTAAAATGAAAAGAATATGTTTCATGATTTTGGATGCAAAAAACCCAAACAAATTAAAAGAAATGGTTCTTTCAACATATCCCAATGCAATGCTAAATTTTGGTGAAGTTCCAAAGGATTAATTAAAGTAAATATTATATTACATTCTCAATGAGTTACATTTTATGATTTGTTATAGTATCATATGTGATTTGTTTGTATCGTTTGAAGGGTTATTATATTACACCATCAAAAATCTTGAGGGAGGCCATTAGACCTTTGACATAATCACTTGATGATCTTAAGCGGCCTCATCATAATATTGTCTTCATGATCCAATATCTGCAATGCAAAATAGTATGCGTAAATAAAATGATTACCAATTTCAAACACATTCAAAATTTTCTCTCACTTACGTGACAATGGTAGACATAGCCGGGTTCTTGGGTCGGGTCAAACGGGTAAGATCCGTTAGTGTGAATAAAAGAAAACCGAACCAATATCCTCGTCACATATCCAGGCATCATCTTGAACACATTCTTCCAACCCCTCTCGTGCGCCGTCACCGCCGTCTTTTTCCCACGTGCGTATTTTCCGATCTGACACTTAACGGCGTCGTTATGTTCCGTCATGCACATCTTGAACTCATCCAACCCCGCCGTTAGTAACGCCGTTTGTTCCACCACTTTAAACAGCCCCAAATGAATGTGTAACGGATGGTTATCCTCCGTCAAATTAATCACTTCCCAAACCTTCGATTATTTCATAATTAGACCATTAATTCAAAATTAATTTCGAATTAGACCATTAATTCAAAATTAATTTCGAATTAGACCCTTAATTAAAAAAAATATACCTCGCTGGTCCCTGATTTTGGAGTCTCCGTCACCGGCGCGTCGTAAGGCAAGCCGTTCACGTACAAATGAGTCGGCTCGTCCGACTTGCTTACGTACTCGTACATAGAGATGTAACGCGTGCGAACGGCGTTTGACACGTCAGCAGACGGATAATCAATGAGCTTCTTCGGAACTGTACACGTGTCAGTCTCAGGTTGGTCTTTCACGATGAATTTCATGACCTTGCCGTTTTCTTCGTTGACGGGGTCACCGTTAGGGTAAGGATACGGCGCATCGTTGGCGAGCACCACCGTACGCGACGGAGATTTCGAGAAATCAACGACGACGTCTGCGATTTCCGACGGAGATAAGAGAATCGATTTGGTCGCCACGGGTTTCGACAGATACGCCGAATCAGAACCCACGACGATGAAATCGAGACCGTTGGAGAAGAAGAATTTGAAGAATCTGGCGTTGCTTGCGTTTATGATGCGGAATCTGTAAATCCGGCGTTTGACGGTTAATCGCGGCCACACTTTTCCGTTGACGATGATCGCATCGCCGAAATACTCCGGTTGCCATTGCGGGTGAAGCGACGGGTTGTTCCCGGTTGCATTCATGTAAATCGAACCGTCTTTACCGAAGCTCCGATCGAAAACGATCAACGGCCGGTCGAATTCGTAACCGGTGGGTAACCGGAGAGGAGATTCGACTTCGTGGTGGCGAAGAACGTAACCGCCTAACAAACCGGCGAGGAGGTTGACTCTGGTCAAACCCATTGCGTGGTCGTGGTACCACATGTTACCAGGTTGTTGCTTGTTCGCGTAATGCGACGTCGTTGTGGTCCATTTCGGTCCGGTCTCTTTGAAACCGTTGGTGAACCACGCGTCGGCGTTTCCGTCGCTTGCCGGTTCGTGGATTCCGCCGTGTAAGTGAACCACCGTGGGAATTCCGCCGTGTTTTGGGGTGGCCGGGGAGATTGTGGGGTCCCAAGGGAGGATGTGAGATGAAGGGAGGTGATTTCGCCACGTCACGTAAGTTTCAACTCCATAGACGGCTTCGATCGTTGGACCAGGAACTGTTGCCTTGCCCCGCGATGTACCGTATGCAAACACAGGCGTTGGAGGCAAATCTCTGTGGAATTTCTGTTGACATTTAAACAATAAAATCGTCAAAATTCAAAACAATTTCATCAATCACACACTATGTTTATTCGTCTTCAATCCGGTATTCGATTCGTATCCGCTTCAAAAAAAGGTTTGATTCGGATAAAATTTATCATACTTTAGGCATGGACACAAA